TATTATTATTTGGGAATGATTCGTTTGCCGTATAATTTCTTTTTAAATTGTAGAAGCAAAGAATGGAAAAATAGGAAATTGATGGTAGAAAAGTTGTTGGAAGTGTTGAAGAGATGAAAAAATAAAGAAATAGCAGAAGAAATGCTAAAATAAATTCCACGTCATTCCCTTTCCGTTAACATAAACATCATCATCATCTTATTATCATCATCATTATCATCTTTGCCATCAAATTATTATTTCATTATTATTGTGTTATTATGCTACAATTATTATTGTTTGCATGCGAATTATATAAATTTTATTAAGAAGTAAAGGAATGCGAGAATGAAGAATGTTGTTGGTAAATATTTTCATTTATGCAAAATTAGCAACACAATTTTATTTACTGCCCCATTAAGTACCATTGAAACTGAAATTTATTTAAAGTGCTATTACTAATACTTATTATTACTGCGTCACAAGTACTGCTGATATTGTTTTTCTTTTTTTCATGCAAAGAGATATAAAGGAACAAATTATTTTAAAATGCTAAATATGCATCTTTTAATATCTATTCTTTTTTAATTAGTTAAAAAATTAGATGTATTTCGAAAGGTTTCAATTATCATTCATTTCAACAGTTTCATTCCTGTTATGGAAGTGTCTAAATATTATTCGTATTTTTAACATTGTTGTATTTCCTTTTGTCTTAAACGTATTGCTTTGGTACCAACTTTGCTTCTTCGTTCTGATAACTATTAGTTGCTATTACTGTAGGAGGAAGGAAATGATAGCATCTGTTTTTTCATCAAAGCAACTGTCAAATTCAAGTGAACGGTATTCTACACCTTTCACACAACCATTACTAATTAGCAGTAATTCTGTACCTATCACATCAATTTTCAACAACGTAGAGAAGAAACGTCAACACGCCACAATGTGCGGATACATCATTTTTGTTGCAATTGTTCGTCGGAAACAGCGAATTATCCTTTTTGGTTTGTCTCTTCCAATCATTAAGAGATTATACAACGTGAACGTGAACTACATTTAACACGTGAATTGCACTAATTTCCACCCGACATTACCCGGCCATGTCCCCTTCTTTTCACTCTGTTTTATTCTTTCATTTTGCCATTATGACGTAACTGACGTATGTATTTAAGAAATAATTTACACTCCTTCTATCTTTTTTGCAAATTTTCCGCAAAAATTTCAAAATTATTCAATCTTTCGTTTGTCAAATTCCAAGAAAAATATTCACTCGTCAAACTTTTTCTTGGAGAAATATGATTGAATGCTGGGAGGAAAAACGAGAAGAGGAGAAAAGAGGGAAGAAAGTAAAAGTATTTTACGTACTAATTTAAATTAACTCTAAACATGAGTAGACCATCAGCAAAACACAATGGTAGAGTTATTATGTACCGAATAAATTTTGTTTTTTAAATCATAATTTGAAAAGAAATTTTTGTCATTTGTTTTTCTCTTTTGTTTCTGTTCTAATTTCTTTTTCCGAATTATATTTATTTGGTTGCAAATGTTTTTTCCAAAATATCACCCAAAAGGAAAGAACCATTGTCGTCCATTTTTCATGCTTCATTTCAACACTCACTTCGTTCCCAACTGATGTCCGCATTAGTGATTCGGGTGACAATTGACAGTGATGGGATAATGGCTGAGAGAGCGATACTGAGTTCATCACATATGCTATTGTATTTAATTTGAGTTTACGCACTTTTTTGTTCCATTAATAATTCTAAAATTTAAATTTGAAAATTTTCGATTTAAAGATTAATAATGAATTTCTTTGCTCGCTAATTATTTTAAAGCTAAGAGAAGCTTGAAGTGAAAGTTTCAGGAAGTCCAGCGAACAAAGCCGGTCTTCAGGTTGGTGATTGTATCGTTGAGGTGAACGGTTGTTCAGCTGAAGGGAAAGATTATGCATACATTGTTGGACTTATCCATCAGGTATGTTGGATTTTTTAATTTTCAGAACAATTTATGATTTCATTTTTTCTGTAGATGGAAGAACTTGCTGCTGAAAACTTTCATTTCGATTGGGTGTGGAGAGCGGGGCAGATCGATATCTAAAAGGGTCGATCATGAATGATTGACAACCGTATAAATTTAGCCTTAATTTAAGCATAGCGAAGAAAAAAGTTGACATAACGGGAAATGAATTCAAAAGTGTCATGAAAAGAAAAGAGAGGAGAAAATGAAACGACTGCTTGTAAATGAATAGTAATAGACGGATATTTCGGGTTAAATGTAATCGGTCATAGCGCGAAATAATTACTTCCAGCCAAATTATTCATATCCTCCCGGCTATGCGGAATACTGCACGAGAGGTCACACTCCGATCATTTCATCCGATCTCTCTCTTTCTTCCAACAGTCAATCATATCCATCCCTCTCTTATCTTTTATTTGTAACGACCAAAGCAAAAAACTGTCACATTGTAACATAACTTGTTTTACCTGTGCTTATGTCTACACCGTATATTTATTATTGTCAACTTTGTCACATTTATATTTAATTGCATCGTTGGTTCATTCTGATATTATATGCGTTTTTTTAACTCTGAAAATTTTTTATGCCTTTTTACTTTCTAAAATTTTTATTTTTTCTTGTAATAACATTTGATTAAGTGAAACAATTAATAATATTATTTGATTAAAAGGCAGAAAAGAAAATTAGTAAGTTAATGACTGAATTAAATAACCTCTAATTAATTTAATATCACATGTTTTTATAGATAAATTCAGTTACTTACTTCCTAGCAGTGAGGCAATCGTTATGACGTAATGCAAATATTACATTACATAATAGCCATAGTATTTAAGTTAATTGGTAAATAACTTGTTGATCGTTACCAACTTTTTGCAAAGATGAGTTAACAATCGTTATCCAATTTAGGGATTAATTTTATTTTTTTCTCAATTCTCATGTCATTATCGCAATTTATTATCTTTTTCACTCAATGATTTTACTATCAGGTAACAATATTCTTTATCACTAAGTATTTGCATTAAAAATAAATATTCCCGATATATTCCATTCATCATTCCACTTCATTAAATACATATCACATAATTTTTCATTGTCATAAAAACGTGTTGTTTTTTATTTTTTGTTTTTTTTCCTTCCTAAATGCAATATAACATTTGTTTATGGGAAAAATTTTATTGTACCTTTTTTATTTTTCGTTTTTTCCTCTTTCTCATTGTTATGATTTTTATCATTTTTTTAAAAGCTAATTGTTATTTTAAAAGTTATCATTTATTAAAAAAAGTAAACATATGTCTTATCAATTTTCTTTTTCACAAACATTGATTGCATTTCATGGGATATGACGATCTTTTTCTTCTCATCGATTCATATTTTATTAAACAAAAAATTTCGTGCATTATTCAAATTACTTTTAATTAACTCAGTAGATGCGAAGAATGGAAAGAATACATCAAAGAAAAGAAAGTGAAATTTGTCAAATATTGCTTAATAAAGAAAAAAGAAAGCGAGATGAATTCATCTGTGATAAAAAATTAAATTATAATTTTGACTTTAATTAGCAACTTTTTTGCATTCATTAAAGCTTTAAAACATTTTGAACTTAAATGACAGAATAAAAATAACAGCTCTTTTTGAAAATTAGTCAACATGACGCAGTACAATAAATTCATACAATAAATTTTTTCAAATAAATGTAATATTTTAATTCCTATTCAGTATTTTAATTCCCAATTATTTGCTCATCGGCAATATCACTGCACAATTTCGATTCTTTATCCGTTTTTTATTTTTTGCTTCCTTTTCATTAATAATTTTACATTATATAAAAGTTACATCTTTTTCCAATCTTAGTTCTTCCAATCGTTTATTGGTTACTATTCAAATCTTTTCCTTCCAATAGCTATTTGAGTAAATAAGTGACCGAATTTATGCATTCTCACGTCAGCGATTATATTTATGATGGATTTAGTAGAAGCAGCCGTGGAAAGCAAATATACCTACCTTTCACTTATTTCAAATTTAAATTACGACCGACTTCAACTGCTACTACTATTATTGCCATTTTGATGTCACTGAGACGAGTGGAACTTTCAACAGTATTGGAAATTCAAATACCATTAGAAATAAATGGACATGGTATTAAATGTGCAAGTAATATGCATGAGAATAAGCCGTGTAACTGTGCATTAGTCGAGAATGAGATGTTATTGTTCAATGATTACAATGGCACTAAGGTGAACAGTAATTTACTCTTTCTTTTTATATTTATGCATTTTATGCTTTGAACGAATTTGATACCTCTGAACCTTTGAAATTAATCATTTAACCAACAGTACGCTAACTGCAAATATGCAACTGTTATGCCACTTCATTTATCACCACACATTTAATTTATATCTTTTATATCGGAATTTCATTTCAAATGATGTAAAATTAAAGTTATAAATGAGTGATTCAAAAGCAAGAACAGAAGAAAAATCTATTTGGTTTATATTTTTCTTTAATTTTCTACATTTCTGTACAATTTTACAAATTAATAATGTCTTTAATACATAAAAAGTGTGTTCATATTTTGATTAATTTCGCTAATTTTGAAAAAAGGAGAGTGGATTTTTATTAGCAATCATTACAGAATCTTTCCTTATCTTTCATATTATTTACTTCTCTTTGTCCTTGACAAAACCAATTTTCACGAATTAAGTTTTTTAATTTTTAGTAGCCAATTCCAATTCATACTTTTTACTGTCTTTAAATATATACTGGTAAAGTCGTTTAGATTTAAATTATTGCATTAGTGCAATACAGTTACACATGAATATAAGTAATCTTTGACTATTTCAATTTTTAATTTCCATTTCTCTTAACTATCTTCGTCAACTTTTTGGATTTCTACCAAGTAATTGCTTTCAGCATTGTTTACGCACAATAGGCTCACAACGAAATATTACTTTCACCGCACATTCCAAAAAATTAGATAATTATCATCAAATTTTCATGATAAATCGTTTTTTAATGATTTTTAAAATGGCTCCTTTTTAGGAACTTAAACCAATTTGAAATCACATCCTTTGAAATTGTTTTACAATTTTAAAAGGTTCGTTTAGGGGTACACTCTTCAGCGAGGTCACTTTTTAGAGTGTACGAAGATGCTGAGGCTTTTTTTTCATAGCATTGCTTCACTGCTCATTCTCCCAAACAGCTATTTATTGGTCGGCCATATTTCCAACCTCTTCTCCTAACCTAACCGTAAATGAATTTAGTGTTCAGCTGCATAGAAATTATTAAAAGTTTACAGATATTTTAAGAATTTTTTTTGTTCCTACCTTAAGCATACAACTTCATTTGCCCCGAAGCTTACCTTTTTCTCTTTTTTACTTACGACTGTATTTGTTAATTACCTTCTACCAGTTTTGTTTACATTATTTTGCATTGAAGTGTAAGTAAAATAAGTGAACGGTACTTACGATACTAATGAATGAAGTGATATGCTTGTAATGAATTAAAGGAAATTTTACTTTGTTGTTTCAAGACTGAAATTTCTTCCTTTTTTCTTTTCATATTGTTTTATTGAAACCTAGTAAAATTTGAATTAGAATCGATTTATTTTACAGTTGTGTGATTTCATTCAGTGTTGCCAAGTTTTTCTTACACATCCTGTAATTCCATCCATCAAATTCCTTTCACTGTAAGAAAAATGTTTGGAGACAGGCAAACAAATTGTTACAAAATTTGACGATGAAGGAATAAGGCCATCTCTGATAAATACATTTCATCGTTATTGTGACCAATGGTTTCAATCATCATTCCATTAATGACTTAACTTTTCACCATTTTCATTGCTCTTTTTACTTCTTGTAGTTTTGTAATTTATTATACTTAAAACACCTATCAAAATTTTTTGCAAATTTATCAAACTTTACATGAAATAAAAGACATTTATTCAGTTGCTTATATCCAAAGCAATGTTTCGTTTCTGGCATCGACTTATATTGAAATTTTCCATCTTTGCTACTCACTGAAATAGCCGCTATAAAAAAGCGCTTATCTTTGGTCATTAGAGTCATTAAAATTTTTAAATGATTATGAAAGAAAATTTTATTGCTAAATTCTTTTCAATCGATTTATTTTCAGTGCATCAAGTCGCGTGTGATACAATTACGGCTTCGACGAAAACACGAAACATCGCGTAAAGGTGACATAAATTTTTGAAAATAAAATTTCAAAATTTTCTGACTTTGAATTTACCGTTGGATTTAATGCCTGTAGGAAAATAATCGTAGAAAGTTAATAAAAAATCTTTAACTTGAGCAGTTCTTATTCTCATGATGATGTATTTGAGTAAGACGCATTAACCATTAATTAACTGTATAACAATCTTATTCCGATTAAAAATCTTTTTTCCTTCCCAAAAACTTTCCTTTTGTATTTCTTTACATCGTTCCACACACCCACTTATTTCCCAATTAAAAAAACGGAAAAAATGAGTTCTTTTGAAATACTCTTTCGTTTGCTTACAAATAAGAAAAAAATGGTGGATTCAATAGTCATAATAAAGTTTATTTTGTAGGAACTACCTGAATTTTCACTCCGAATTACAGTTCCTTACTTCGGGATGCAAAATTAAGATTAACGTAAAAATGTTGAACAGTCACTCATTTGTTTATTATTCCAAACTTTCCTTATTCAAATAAAATCAAATAACAGTGCAAAGCATTCAGTGAAGCGGAGCGAGACGCATTATTTAAAATTCTTTAAATGTGAGCGAAGTTACATTTGTCGAATCTGTGATTTTGCGAAACACGATCAGTCCTCTCATTTCGTCCCCTAAAACCAAAAACTAGTTGTTCTGCTTCACAGACAGCTGCCATCAGAACTGTCACCTCGGTCCGCCCTCTGTCCCCGTCTTGTCGTCGATACCCCACTCCTCCCAACTTCACTCTCGCCTCTGTTCATTATATCGTCTATCAGCGCATCCATGTGACACTGAATTTTGCTTTTTTCCGGTGGATAATTATTTTTCCCTCCTAATGATACGTTCCAACTTGAGAGACTTCCTTTTCCTTTTTTGGAAAACACATTGAACTCAGTGATTCCTTTTCGGTCCTTTTCTCTGTAGAAGAGGTCGTAACCCCACGTATTTCTTTCTAAAATATGGAACGATTGTTTGGAGAAGGATTAAATCCTGTCTGTTGATATTATAGAGAATTCGTTAAATAATCCGGAGATTACAATTTCGGATGCTTTCCTCGTGTCATCCGATAAGCGACAAGCAGATGAGGTTACGAATATCCTGAAAAGGTTTCGTTTATAATTTCCGCTTTCATTTTCTTCAATTTTTTTCATCTGATTTTATTCGAAGTTTCCTAAGAAATAATAACTTCTCAATTATCGTCGGCAGAATGCTGCAACTTGGCGCTTGCAATGTTGAAATTCGATATTAGACATTTTAAGAAAAATTTTATCAAATTAATTATTCCTCATTAATATCCTAAGGATACATTGACTCTCTCTCTTCATTTTTATCAACAACTATGCAAAATAACTGAAAATTCTGCAAGTGGGTCACGATAATTTAAGTTATTGAACCACCTGATATGATCACTGGTTAGCTTTTCAGCATTTTGTGCTAATTAGCATGAGATAGTATGTATTTTCCTAAGTTAATATTTTAGAAGATTTCAGGGATTGAAAATTAATTTTTTAAGAAATTAGTTTAAAAATTTCATTCATTTTTGGAGCTTAACAGAATATACTTTCTATCACTACAAAAAGAATTAACAAATTTTGCAATTTTTACGAATTTATGTTCAATTTGTTAGTATAAGTTGTAACATTTCACAGATAATATAACCAAATATCTGATAAAATTTAAAATTTATTCAGCAAAAATTTAGCAACTGTAAAGCTGAAGCTGGCATTTATTCAATACTGCATAATTTTATTGTTTTTTACATTAATGCTATTGTCTTCTCTGATTTTCACAGCTGTTTTTTAAGCTTTTTAATTGTTAAACTTGTAAGTTTTATGGCATTGATTTGAAAATACCTCTCTTCTCTTTAATGGTTGTTTGTTTCATAGGAACCACCCGGGTGTGCGCATTCAGGACATGGAAATGTTGCTCGATGGATCGCCG